GTTTCCCTCCTGATTGGATTCCTCTACAGAGGTCCCTCTGTGTGTTGCATTTCAGTTTGTAGGTACTTCTATAACGGTTGGACCATTAGGATGGATGGATGGATGGATGGATGGATAGGTGATACTTGTTAAAGACAGATTTTATTCAAGCAGAGAATTGAAATAGATGCAGGGAGCATGGCAGTGAGGTAGAGAGACTGGCTCAACTCTCTATGTAGCAAGTGGGAATCTAGAACAAAGAAGGAGGGTAGGGGTCAGCGGATGGAACATCAGAGATAAAGGGGGATCCCACCTGAAGGGGTCTAGCAGGATTCTTACAGAAGGCAGGCGAAGATCATGAGAGGTCACAGGGCAGGGAGGAAGGGAAGCCTGACCAGCGTCCAGAATGGTCAGTAGCAGAATGGGATTCTAGCTAAACCAACTTAGCAGGATTCTTGCTAAAACTGAACAATGCAGAGATGAGCATGGATGTCCAAAAGGCATGGCTTCGTTGACAAGTTCAGGGAAGTCTGAACAGTTTGGTCAAGAAGAAAGTCTTTGTCACTGGAAATAAGGAATTGAAGGGAAAAGTGAGAGAGGAAGTTGAGGATGGTTCAGATTTTTTGCCTGGAGGGGAGCAGAGAGAAATTACTTTTCCTAAGGGTTTCAGGAAGGTGACTAAGGCCTGAGCTTGAAGGTTTTTGCCTTGGCAGCCACTTAGGGAGGTCTTGAATTTCTCAGAATTCAAAATATGTAATAGTGGGATTTATTTGGAAGGAAAGTAGGCTTCTGGAGCTAGCAATCCAGAAGCAACCATGCTGTGTTGATTCTGAATAATTGCTTTAGACCTGGAAAATATTAGCTAGAATTCCAGATCCTTGAATCACCTGACCCAAGGTCATATCCTGGCCTGAAGCAATGCTAATGTATAATCCTGAGAAACTTTCTTAGGCCTTTCACACCTCATTTCTTCATGCATATTCTACCTAACAAGGGGTCCTTCTGGAAGGTAGGTCAAATAATGCAGAGTGTCCAGCTAGCGCACTGCTAGGTACAGAGTCCTGCTGATGCTGGCTGTTACCACCTAACGCATGCTTATGTGCAGTTTGCCCTCTGAGAGTTAACTAGCTATTGCTCATCAAACAACTAGCCAAGCGCTATCTACCTCATGAGTCACAGTTATGGAAAGGAAATGGAGAATGATCAAATGTGTAGTGTGCAGAGAGTTTGAGCCAACAGAGATCTGATATTCTTAAAGAAGTGAGAGGCCATTGGAGGAAATTGACATCTTCCCACTCAGAGTCACCAGTACTTTGTTATGTGGCAAAGGTAAACATGACAGGAATGCTCAAGGTTCTTTAGACAAACCATGAAGACTGGTCTGGGGAGTTGGAGGAAGGGGCCTGGTGGGAGGAGATGGAGAGGGTGTCCCACCTGCTGGGGTGATAGCCCAGCCCAGGGCCGGTGACTCAGCTCCCAACTCTTATAGGAATCTGTGGGCAGACAGTGGGGAAGCTGCTTATATGGGAGAATGCTCTACTAAACACATGCACACACACACGGTGCTGAGAGGGGTACCCTCAGGCAGCACTAACTAAGCACAGTGCCAGGGCACAGTAGTGAACCAGACACAGTTCCACCCTTTGTGTAATTTAACGGTGACTGAGGAAGCTGAGCAGGAAATGAGATAAACGTGTTCTCTCAGACCGTGATAAATGCCAGGGTGACAAACCAGCCCAGCAGGGGGCGAGGATGTGCCTGGGTGGCCCGCGCAGAGAGAGACAGGCAGAACGGAGGTCCTTGCGTCCTGGATCCTTGGCAGGGGCACTGGAACTTTCAGAGCAGCCACCAGCAGCAGGCCACCACCCTCCTGATGGGCCAAGGACATGGGAAAGTATGCAGCACACACAGAGCCTTGGAGACTGGGAGGAGAGCTGAGCCAACCCCACCATCTTGGGTGGGTGGGTGTATAGAGCTGGAAGCTCACACATGACATAAACTCCTGGAACCAGGGGGCCGCAGAGGCATCTGTGCCTAGAGATGTAGCAGATTGTACAGTTTATTGTCAACCCTGTAGCAATGCTCCCATCAACTCTTAAGTTGAAAATATCCTAAGTCAAAAGTGCACTTAATGTGCCCCACCTACCAACAGCATGCTCCGCACACCATAGCCTCGGGGGTGACTCCCTGTGACTGTGGGTGGCAGGAACTGTGGCTGACTGCCGCTGTTTGGTGTTAGGTACCGCGCTGCATATGGCCAGCCAGGGAAAAGATTACAATTCAAGATTCAAAGTATGGTTTCTACTAAGCGCGCATTGCTTTCGTAGCATTGTAAAGGCGAACCATGGTGAGCAGGGGCTGTTTGTACATTAAATTTAAAAGACCAATTTGCCTTTCCAAGCCTCTCCCCTTACTTTATCTGTGCACTTTTGGGAATGACAATGCCAGGCCCTGCCAGCTGTGAGTTCCAATTTGACATCCAGGAGGAAACTCACAATGCCAGTGTGACCTGCTATGATGTCATAGGCAGTCAGGACTGTACTCAGTTCTCTGGAAAGATCAACCAGGCCAAGGGGAGAGAGTCCCACAGTGTGTCTATACTCGGTGGAGAGATGTCAGGGAAGTCTCTGACAAGAGTCAGAATGATGGCTGGGACCAGTCTGCAGTGGACCCTGCCTGGCACTGTCTAATTGGAGATAATCTGAGTCCATGGGTTCTCTGGAGCTTTCACTGTCCTTGAGCTCTGAGACTCAGTGATTTGTTTTTTCTGGTGCAGAATTGCTTTTTGGTTTGTTTTCCTGTCCTTCTGCGGAAGAAGCCAGTTGCCCCTGCATTAAGCAAACCCAATTCAGCTTTCCTAATGTATGCATACGTATGCATCAGCTCCTTGGAGTCTCCTTTAACCTGCTTTTAACATCTTACTGGTTACCTTGCTAATTAATGAGTTAAATGAAACTTTTTATTTTATACATTTTATCATTGTATGCACAAGAAGCATGATTTTACTTTTTTTTTTTTTTTTACAAATAGTCATCTTTCAACTGGGCTTCATAATTGTCAAAGATACTAGCAAACGCAGATTAAATATAGTCATTTTCCTGCTGCACTACACTGTTCACTTCTGTGGTTTCAGGGAGTGGGTCCCCAGAGGCTTTTGTAACTAGAAAGAGGATAGAAGTAATAAGTTGTTAGCAATACCTAGCCTTTCAGCTAAATTCCTATTCATGTGTCTTTTAGAATTTTCTTATTGCTTCTCACTGTTTTTTATTTACTATCCTCGTTTCTTGGGGTGAACATGGTTTAACTCCTTCTCCCTTTTGGTAAGAAAAATATGTTCCTAAATTGAAACTCATTTCATTTGAAAATTTGAAAGTTAGAAATGATATGGTTCTCTCCAAAATCCCTAAAGATTCCAGTCTTAGGCTCAGCTAAATTATGTGACACACATATTATGGAACCTGGACCTGATATTCACCAGGACAGAGGTGCAGCAGAATAGCTGGGCACTGTGGGGTTCTTCAACACTCTTTGAAAATAAGCAATGAGTCCTTCACTCCTCACCAGAAAAGACAGAGCTCAGCAGCGTAAGCTTCCTAGTCCTTCTCTTTGTGTTACTGGATTTCTTTGTCTTACAGATTAGTCTATTATAAACCATCCAATAGGGGCCAATTTTTCAAAAAGTATCCATTTTGAAAGTCTGAATAATTTCTGTGTCATAAAGTGCAGACATGGAGTATAATTCATGATGGTTCAACATCTGTATATCTTCAGTGCCCACACACTGAGAGAAGGAAGGGGCTAATCCAGGCTTTCCCAAGGGCACACATGAGCTCTGGATGCCATGGATGTATGTTTTGGAATGAAAAGTGTATTTCTTCCATTAGCAATGAAAATGCATATGAGAGAGATTACTGCAGTGTAAATGCTTTCTCTCTGTCATCTTTAAGGAAATACCCACTGGTCCTATGTATGGTCATCCTGACTTCCCTTGGTTATTTGGACTTCCTGGAAGTCCAAAAGTTCGAGAAGGAACAACTACAAACTGAAAGTACAGAACCACGATGGGTGTGGTTACTAGCATGACACAGGCTATGAAAGAGGAAGGGCCGGCCTTCCATAGGAGGAGTTAATGAGGGCATAAAGGCACAGGCTCTTTGAATATGTTCTTGGACTGTGAGCCAATGGTCAGCATTTCCCTTTTACAAATGTATGGTTCACCTTGTAATACAGGGAAAGTCCCAGGGCATTTACAATGTCCAGAAAATCTTGATTAGCCCACTCAGGTGCCCCAAATAAATCTGCGGATTTACTCCTTTTGAACAGGAAAAAAACAACCATGATAAATTTTGTTATTTAAGCATAAAGACATTAGTCACTTAGATTCCTGGAATAAGGGACACACCTGTACACATGCATTGTCCCCACCCTAAGTTAGGTCCATGACAAATAACACTTCTCAGCCATGGAGCTGTTTGGTGCTAGATCACAGAATCCTGAATCCTGAGTATACCAGTCTGTGTGAAGTAATCAGAGGCAGATGAAATTATTTCCAGTTCTGAAACTTGGATGATGGTTTCAATTCCAAATCCCTCATGTTTTTCTCTGTCTCTTAAATTTTGATCTCTGTTGAAATTCTCCAAACCGTGGTGATAAAGTGTTTGAAAAGTTCAGATAAAAATATATAAATTCTCAGTATCTCATCTAGCTAAAAAATATGACCACAGGATTAGCAATAAACCTCTCTTTAGGGACCAACAATACCTCAAATCTTCCTAATCTCTGGGATAAAATCTTGAGTGGTAGGGACTTTATAATAGCAAAGGACCTCCCTGTAATCCGTCTGCTAAATAAGTTCAGACTAATCCAAATGTCAACAAATTTGGGTGTCATTACACTCAAATAAAACTATAGGTAGAGAAATAGATTGATTTAGTGATAGCTAGATGGGGACCTAGTTCTGGACGTTATAAAAGCACGTTATAAAAAGTGTTTATTTGGCAGACTTAAAAAAGAACATTGCCTTCATTGAGTAGACATGTAGTTTTATTGAACTCCAATTTAGATGTATTTCTAGGCTCCTTTGGTAAAGTCAGGAGCCCCAGGCAGCACAACATAACTTGTCAAGAGCTCGTCCAACTTGTTATGTCAGATAGCAGCAATAGTCAACTGGTTTTCTCCTGAAAACAAATCAAAACACAAAACCTGTTGATGGATTCGACCTTTAGCTGGTGCTTTGGCATTAAGGGAACCCAGTACAGGCTGAAGGTCAGGCACCAGGCAGACTGTATTGCTCACCATTTCTTAACAACCATGCTCTGCACAAATCACTCCCATGACCTCTATATGCCTACTGCTTCTGTCCATCTCCAGCTGCCCCTCCCTTCGGCTTCTTGCCCACAGAGATTTCAGCGTATTCACTTTGATTTCTAGTTGCATTATTTGTGGCTCTGTTTCTTCCCATCCTTCCCCCAGGATAAACTTCACATAATTTCTCACTCTCTGGTCTTGCTGGGCAGACAGACTCATCTTCACTTTCCTACATCAGGGCTGCAATCCATACAGAAATTCCGGAAGTACAGATGTTTAGCATTGATTTGGACCAAGATCTAACCTAAAGCTGCTTTGAGATTTAAGGAGCATCCTGATGTTTTGATGTAAAACATTATCACTGAGTATAGTTAGGTTGTTTTCTGAAGTCCAAGTTGAGTTGTTTTACATATATGTGGGGGGAATGGGAAAAGCTGTTAGCATGCCACCCTGTCCAACCACCCTTGTGCAAAATTCACCTCTTTAAAACACACCTTAGGACCATGTGTATAAGCCACCTTACCTGCATTCTTTCCTTCTGCATCAAAAGGAAGCTCACTAGATTGAACCAGCACAGATTTTGGTACCAGGCAGACAGAAGCCCAGCCTCTGCTCCCTTTGACCCTTATTTTCTTAGACTGGTGACATCTTCTTCAAAGTAGTTTCTTGGGGTGTTCTTGTCACCCTCTCTTATTCACCTCAATATCTTTGAACCCAGGTCTCTGAAGACTGTAGGATAGAAAGTGTGTCTCATCATAGCTGTATCTGTGCTACTGGGAGTTGGAAATGCGCAATCATGCGCCCCTCCCTGGAATTTTCATTTTAGCAAGATCTCCTGGGGATTCTTGTCACATTCAAATTAGAGAAACACTTGATTAGGAAGGATAGCAATTTTCCAGAGCTATTAATAAGTGAAACAAAGGGATAGGGCTTGTGTGGCATGAAGAACATGGACATACTGTCCTGACAGCACCAGGCTTTGGAGTCAGATACACCTGAACTCAAATCTTGGGTCTGTTCCTTCCAACTCTGGAAATTTAGGCAAATTATTTGGCTCTAGAACCTGAACATTGTAACTTAGATTACCAAACTATTTTTTTGTTGAGAATTAAACAGGATGTAGTCACACAGGCAGGTTATCCTCACCCACAGATGATGTTAGCTTTCTGATCCAGCTGCCACCGTATGCCTCTTCCTTATTCTGGATGGTTCTGTTTTCTGAACATCCCAAGTCATCTGCAATACAATTATGCAGTTTCTATATATGCAGACATGGTTTAAATGTATCAGAATACCGATGTCCAGAAAAATAGACTCATAACTCAATTCATACAACAGAAATACAGTGATACCTCAGTTCACAAACACTTTTGTTTGCAAACAATTTGGTTCACTAACAGGCGCATTTGGAAGAATGTTGTTGTTTGCAAACTCTTCATCAGGCGACCTACATGACTGTGGCAGTCTTCCTCATGCAAACATGAATGTGGCCATCTTTTCCAAAATCATGGGACAAATTAAGTTCATGAACTGAGGCACCACTGCAGTTAAAAATGTTTGACAAAATACACAAGAGAATACAGATAGAATTACAGTGAAGTTATTGGTGAAATCGGACGTGCTCTTGTCTTTCTGTCTTCACCTCCTACCACCACCAGTTCTGTGCTCTGAGCCAAGTGTTGATATAGATGGAAGGCATCTTCATCCTCCTCTCACTTCCCAGGTCCTTGTCATCTTTGCATTTAAGATTCCAGTATAGACATGGTCTATAGACACACCTTCATGGTCCCAAAGCTGCCTGTGGAGCAGATTCTGCTAGCACCGTGCTGGCTGTTAATGTTCTCTATCTGATTATTCCTTTCCAGCAACATCGACTTGTTCTGGATTCTCTTCTCTCCATGTAATGCTCAAGTGTCCATTCTGCTCTCCAGGAGTGGTTTCCAGATGTGATTTCTAGACCAGGACAACATCACTTGGGAACCTGTTACCAATACACATTCCCATCTTTACCCCAGACCTGATTTGTTGGGACCTCTGGGAGGGGGGCCACAAGTCTGGGTTTCAGCAAGCCCTCCGGAGGATGCAGAAGGGAAGAGACTGCAGGGCTCCAAACACAAGAGTTTTCCAGCTGTCATCGTCCCCTGGACATCACCAGGTTTTGTGGTGTTCCAACCTGGTTTTGGACTAGAATGAAAATATTGATGCTTAGATCCCATCCCTGCAGATTAGGATTAACCAAATTCTCTTCAGGCCTGGGGAGGAGTCCAGGTATTGAGATCTTCACATTTCTCCAGTGGTTCTAAAGGACAGCACCTCCAGTCATGTGGGCCAACCTGGGGCCGCTTGGAACCAAATCTCATGGGCCTGGACATCTGGCAGGTAGACAGGGTGCTCTTTCCTGATAAATAGGAAAGGTGGAGAGTTGCTCAGTGAGCCTGACATCCTTGCTTTCCAGGTGGGAAAACTGTGAAAGATTCCTCTCCAGTCCACTCCCAGGCATCTGTCCTAACTAACATTCACACTATCTGGGAACATCTCCATTACACCTAGAGAAGAAGGTTGCGGGTAGGAGAATCCCCAGATCCTTCCACCAGCCTTTGGGGATACCTAGGAGCCTCGAGCCACCTTGGGGTGTCTTCCTGTCCTTGGCCACATCCCTACCAGAACAAACTGCCACCCAAGTGTTCAGACCCTCTGTACTGTGCTCATGACAGCAGGCAGCAGGTCCCGAGCACACAGTATGACCAGACCAGAAGATATTTTCATTGATTTGATAAATTCTGCTTCATCCTATAAATTTACAAAGCAGAGAAAGAATTTCTGCGGCAGGGCAGAAAGGAGCTTTAACATGCCTAAGACCACAAAAGTGCTTTTGCTAGATAAATATCATCATAGACCTCGGGCATCACCAGGATTATGACATTATTAAATTTTCTGTCTGTACTTCTAATTTGCATGTTGGAAAAATAAATATTTTGCACAAAATTAAAGGTGATGTGATAGATTTTTCCAGTTCATAGGAAGGCAGTGTGGCCTCTGGTGAAGGAAAGATAATGCCTCGCCTGGGAACTGGAAAAGACACCAGGACATCCCTGAGCTCTTCCTGCCCTGGACAAGGCAAGAGCTGAACCACTGTAAATAAACATTACCATGCCCTGCCCTCTTCAGTTGTCTTCCTTTCCCAGGCCATAAGCATCTCATTGCTAAATCCTTCCAGGCTTTCTTACCACCCCTCTTAGGACCTTCCTATGAGCGATTAGCATCATATCAGCATCCATACTTACTAGCTGTGTGACCAAGTATCCACCTCCCTGAGCTCCTGCTCCCATGCCTCTAGGCATGGAGGACACTATGCCTTGACATAGGGCTCTTGAGAAGATTAGATAAGCAAATATGGCCTCTACAGCACACTGTGCCTGGCATACAATGAGCAATAGCTAAATGTTTGGTTTGTTATTACTGTGAAGCACATTTCCTCTTGTCATCTTCTCCAAACATAAGGAAAACAACAACTAAGGGCTTCTTCATTAAAGTAAAACAAGAAGGGCTATGGGTAACTCAGTGGTAGAATACTTGCCTAGCACACGCAAAGGCCTGGGTTCAATCCTCAGCACCAAGAAACTAAGGAAAGAAGGAAGGAAGGGAGGGAGGGAAGGAGGGCTGGCATGTGGACAGACTCTATGTATTAAAAACATTCACTAAACCCATACCTAAGGCCTAGTTTCCATTCTACAGTGTTCTTTAGTGTTCTTTTTAAAGAGCCATCTCCAAGTTCCCATAGGAATTTAATGGAATATGAATGTATGTTCTGGTGAGAAGTCCCCAGAGCTGGTCCTCTGAACTCCCAGGCATGAGTTTATTTGCAGCTAGGATGGCTAACCTTGCTGGTTTGGCCGGAACTGAGGGACACATTTTTCACCCAATCTTTACCCTAGGGCCAGCTGGGCCTCAGGCCATGGCAGAGGTAGCTTGGGGTGGCAGCCTGCTCCACCACAAGTCCTTAATGCTTAGAAACCCCAATACCTGCCAATGACAGCTTGCACAGGAGAAGGATCAGATCCATCAGAGCTGACTGGTGACGAAGGGCTTCAGAGTAGATCCTGCACTGGGAAGGCTACCATATTCTCTGGATTTGATTGTCTAGCTGTTGAGCTTGGGTAGGTCCTTGAACCTCTCCGAGATTCAGTTTTCTTCCTTGGTAGAATGGATATGGTCTTCATCTCCCAGGAAGTTGGACAAATGGCTCTGGGTGTGAGGAAGCAATGTCTGGTCTGGCTGTAGACAGGCCTTGGGTTAGAATCCTGTTTTTCCCGCATACTCATCCCTGACCTTCGGCTGGGGTCCTTGCCTTTCTGAGCCTATCTTTGCTCACTCATGAAACGGGGAATCACTGGTCTCCCTTGCAGAGCTTTTCCAGCCCACCAAGAATATAGACCTCTCTCTCCTTGAGGAAAGGTTGTATAATGTGTTGGCGTAGACTTGTGCCTAAAGCCCCTTATGATCCTGTATTTCTGAGGCATTTGTTGTACTGTCTCCATTTGGCTCTTTTGTGGTGCTTCTTCTTTGTCTACCAACACATTGATACATGGAAGGAATTTTTTAAATGTGTTTTACTAACTCGCATCACATTGGTCTGACACAGCACTGAAGGCCCAAGCCATGGTGTTTTAGCTTGAGGGACAACTTTATCACAAACCCACTGGCGTTTCAGGTTTTATCAAAGCAAGGCCTTTTGCCTTTGTTATAGGTATTGGAACGGATGAACTCTGGTTGTATATTGCAAAAGTTTTGAAATTCAAGAATACTTATTACACAAGCAGAACTTGCTTTTATTCGTGACTAACTTAATTGTTTCAAAAGTGTTTATACTTTTATTTACAAAGATAATTATCCAAGCCTTCTTGCCATATATGTTGTATTTCTGACACTAAAAAATTGATAGGAAAATTCTTAGGGTTAGGGTAATTCCTATTCAAATGCAATCTCAGAATTATTTACCACGTTAGCATTTTGGCTGATGCATATATAAATTTTCTCCTGGGATGCCTCTGTGGGTTTTTCCAAAATATTAAGAAGCTCACAATAAACATTTTTTCAGTAACTGAAATATGCTCTATTGTTATTAACATAGTAAACTGTGTGTAAAGACTAAAGCATTTCAACACTGTGGGCCAGTTGGACAAGATCAGGGACTGTCTACCTTGGTATCACTTTGGTGTTGTCTGAGAGCTTTAAAAGAGTGAGTCTGGGTTCCCACCCATAAAGACTCTGATTTAATTAGCTCAGACTTTGGCCTGTGCATCAGAGTTTAATTTTTTAAAGAAATTTGGGAATAATTATAGATTTGTAGGAAGTTGCAGAGACAAAACAGAAAGGTCCTTTGGGCTCTCTGCTTGCTTCCCCAGCCATACCAGCTCATATAACCAGCTGAGCATCAAAACCAAGTCGATGACAACAGAATGATTATGCAAGCTGTAAGACCACAGAATGTATTTAAATTTTACCAGCTTGAGCTTCAGGACTTTTTAAAGCTGCCCAGGTAATTCTACTAAATAGCCAGTGCTGAAGCCCTCTGCTGACAGTGCTAATCTTTAGCAATCCTTTTACCTGGGATTCAGTGATTCAGTGATTCTGTGTCCACACACAGACACGCAAGGAAGACACATATATGCCTTGTGCAAATGAACACCACACACATACACATCTTAAAAAAACTTGAAACACTTAATAACAGATGGAAGAGTTAAAGTGAGTGACATTTAAAAAGCAAATTTAACTGTTAGAAAACCCCACTTTGTAATTGTACAAAATACATCCTGGTTTAGATCCTATGTCAAACAAAAGATGTTTTATACTTGAGAAAGTAAATTAAGGTTTATGATTCTGTGAGTTAAGGTTCCTATCAGTAATGAGAAGAAAATTCCACGGGTTTTGAAAATGTCACTTATGCACACAATTAAAGTTTTAATGCCTAATAACATGGTAAGATATTTCTTGTGCACATAATTATATATCTATCAAATCCCTATTTATCATGCTGCAAATGCATGTCAGCAACTGTGGTTCTCTGTAAATAAATCAGTGTTTCCTTCTCTGCTGCCTGGGAAATAAAACGCTGTCCTGGCCAAGTTTCCTGCTTTCTCTCTTTAAAAAGACTTGAAATAGGTATTAATCAGTGAAGCAGTGGGGATGATAAATGAACCTCACATCCCACCCTGGCATCTACTCTGCACTAACTCGCAGTGAGGTTAAATAGGGACGTTTACACTAAAAGCCAGTTCTAAGATGACCATGGCCCCAGGTGCTGAAATGGGGCTGCCTTCACCCTAAGCAAAGAGGAGACTTCTCCTTATTTGGGAGGCAACTTTCAGGATGTTGGTGAAACCTTGCCTTAGTCCTCCTGGGTTTATTATATTTACCAAGGGCCCTCTGTGCAGGACCTGTCAGGTGCCACCTGGTGTCTTGCAGTCTTTCAGAAAGCTCCAGATGTGGAAGGAGTGACTTGCCTCCAGCGACCTCCCCAGACTCCCTTTCTGTGCCAGTCATGGAGCCGCCTTTTTCTCTGATGCCCCCAGTACTCGGTGTCCCCATGTTAACCCGATAGCTTTCTGTTCCTGGCCCTGTGCCTGATTCTCTTGGGAGATTTCTTTGGATGGGTTCCGCAGAGTCACAGAGCAAAATGAGTGTTTGTATCAGAGTTCTGATGAGGTTCTTTCTACCTGATATTTGGGGAGAGGTTCAGATGTGACATGACACTTCCAGGTATTAATCAGGGAGGTAGCCAGAGTGACCTTCAGCCAAGGGGGAAGGGGGTGGTGCAGCCTCTTGATGGTGATTATATCCCTTTCCTGTGTTGGTCACAGACCCTGAAATCAGGCCTGGGAGGGGAAGGGGGATGGGGTGGAGGGAAGGGGATCCTCAGAGATTCTGAGGCTAATAATCATGTCTTCCTCTTTCCTCCATCAATTGATCCATCAGTTTGTACTTAATTAGCTGTGAACTTATAGTGGCCTAAGCAAAGTCATTTGAACACATTGATTTTACAGATATTATAGATGGATTAAGACATCTGCGTCCTGAATGCCCCCCACACACACTCAGGCCCTTCCCCGAAACAGAAGGTGATTGGCCAGTGATGTGACTTCCTGCATCCCAGGAAGGGCCGCCCTGGAATTTCCTTGCCCACTGGGGCTGCCTTACACCTGAATATTTTACGCTTGTAGTGTATGTTTGGTAGGGCGCTGCTGAGACTCAACTGTATTCTGAGGAAGGTCATGTTATTTCAAAGATAAGAGTCATTTATTTACACCCTAAGAAGAGGGCTGGACCTTCCCAGAAGCAAGTTTTGAAGCAGAAGAGGTAAGAAGAGCAGATAAGTACATGGAATTCCTAAGACTATGAGAAGGGAGCCACAGAAAAATGTCAGCCTCCTCAAAGTTTCCTGACTTTCCAAAAGCTCACTCTGAATATAAAGATAGATAAAAACAATCCACTCCCACCGGCTCCCCAGGCCATCTAGGACTGCATGCAGGTGTGGGCTGTTCTGTTCATCGTCACTGCCAGTGGCCTTTATCATCAGGGTCCGAGGGACTCACTTGCTTGCCTGCCCATGAGCCGGCCTCTTTTGGCAGCTTGACAATGTGTGCTGTTTACTAGAGGAGCTATTAAATTTCTCACCTGCAGGTCTTGTGAGAGCTGCAGCTAGAAGATAAAGCCTCCAGAGCTTGCAGCATTGGTATGCAAGACATTCTCAAGGACACGGCTTGCTTCAAACCCAGCTGAGGAATCTGGATTAGAATCAAAATGAACTGCAGCACCGCCCTTAGAGAACTCAGCAGCCACCATAACCAGGCCAGTCCCAGGTTTGCAGCATTTCTGCCAGAATGTTGGGTCATTAAGAAGTTCACATGCAGAAATAAAACTCAGATGTCACAAAGAAATGCCTGGAATGAAACAGAAAACACTGGCAGGTTCTCCCCTGGAAACAGTGGACAGGAGTATAGTAAGTTTGGAGGCCACACGTAGCTGGATTGAAATGCTGGCCCCATTGTCAGCCAGATGACTCTGGGAAAGTGATTTGACTTCTAAGGTGTATCTAGAAATTCCATTGCCAAGTATTAATCCTGAGATAAAATGATAGTAGCCGGAATGTTGGCTGTGTGCCAGGCCCCTAAGTGGTCACTTTATGTGTGGTGACTCAGTTGAGCCACCTCCCCCAACCCCCCCACCTCCCCACCCCCCTCAACAACCTGGAAGGTAATACTGTTATTATCCACAGGAAATGGAGGCAGAGAGAGGAGATGACTTGCCAAGGTCAGGAGGATGACTTGCCCAAGGTCAAGTTCATGGGCTGGGTGACAAGCAACATGGGGACACAGAGCCTCAGCAATCTGCAGTGATGGAGAACAGACAGGGGCAGTGATTGGGGGAAAATCTCTTACCGGAGGGGTGTCATTTACATCCTGCATTTCAGACTCAGCAGGCGTGACGTCACCACCCTGCGCCACGGCAGCAGAAGACTCTAATGGGTTGCTCTTCCCTGGGGATTCCGGAGGTGGCCTTGGGGTCTCTCTCATGCAAGGTGCCACCCCTGGATGACCCAATCCCCTCAAGTAGCGGTGAGGAAATAGCCCAGAGATAACAATTGACTCTTGCCGAGTTCCCATCTTCGCCAAGAAGTTGGGGGCAAAAGCCAGAGCTGGACCTGAGCCCTGGTCCCAGTGGCTGAATAAGAAGGGTCTGGCAGATATGACAGAAAGAAGCATTAGGGATGTGTGAAGGGTGCCATGGCAGGGATTGCCCCAGGGGGTGGCCAGGTGCCTCTCACTGTGAGTGTAGGTGCTTCCTGCACCTCGGAGGAAAGGCTGGCTGCTGCCTGGGATTCCGTGTATGGACAAGGTGCATCCTTTAGCTCCCGTACCAATCCTGACATTGAATATGGATGGTTTTCTTCTTTTTTGTTAGATACTTCAAGAATTAGAAAGCACTGTGCTGTTGTCTGCAGAATCTGAGTTCGGTCACATTGCATACACCACAAAATAGTCATTTAATTTCATCTACACAAAAAGCAGCATGAATATCATGGGCATTGTTTTATTACGCATGCAGTCGCTGGGCAGGTGGACTTTATGGTTGAAGCAAGGGCTCCACCTGTGAAGTCCACACAGGGTCTTCTGCTCAGGGGCTACATATGCCAAGCATCTCCTTCAGACTGAGCAGTAAGAGCTTCATCTAATTTCTTCTCACTTAAGTTTCATTTATTCATTATGATGCCAAGAGAGAAATATGGCTTTTGTTCTCTGAAAAATCTTCTGTCCAACAGATGTCCTTTCATGACCCAGCTCAGACGCTGGGTGTGACAGCCACCCCCGAGTGTGAAACTTTTCTCTAGGAAAGCTGGACACTTTGAACAAGGGCTGTTTTTCTTCTTCTTCTTCTTTTATTTTTATTTTTTGCCAGATTTCTTTGACAGACCATTAAGCTTTATAATGCAATTGGTAATTCTAATTTTAATAGGTTGTCTTAAATTGAGATTTTAGTAAGTATATTTTACAGAAAATATTATTAAAATTTAGA